ACACCTATATATATATATATATATATATATTAATGGAAAAATATACAATGATACCATTTATCTTTGTTATAAAGTGGTCACAATTAATTTTGACTATTGGATGTTAAATTAGGTGGCTAAATTTATTACATTGACCAAGCTCAATGTTTAAAAAAGAAAATTTCTCAAAGTTTGTGAAATATCAAAATTATCAGTTGTCACATCGGATGATTATAAGTAGTTGTGACCTCTTTGTATAAACGATAAATGGTCTCGTTGTATACAATCACTTTTATAATATATTCGAGAAAATTTAAGTGTGACACTAATAAGCGATAAGATGAGAGAGAGTAAACTCGAGTGGGCTGATCATGTATGGTGTGGACACAGTGCAGTACCTGTTAGGAGGTGCGAGTCAGTTCAAGTGAAAGGTTTGAAAAGGATTAAGGTTAGGCCCAAAAGGGCATAGTTAGAAGTAGTTCAGAAAGATATGGGGACTTATGATATCACTGAAAGTATAACATTTAATAGAACATAATAGCCAACTAAAATTCATATAGACGACCCCAATTAATTGGAAAAAAATTATGATAATGATGATATTTTATAATGTAGGGTTCACATTATTTAACTTATACAGTGATATTATATAATTTAGGGAAAATATCGTACAGACCCCTAATTCTCTGTCTTATTTCATGGTAAACCCTCATTTTATTTTTCTTTCAAGCACCATACCCCCTCATCTATTTTCTTCCACGTTTATTTACTTTTAGCTAACAAAACTAGTCCCAACAAATTATTTTTATTCCATCTCAATCCAAAAGTCTTTTAACCTTGTTTTGCACTTTTTTAAAAAACTTTTGGATTGAGATGGAATCAAACAATTTGTTGGGGTTAATTTTTGTAGCCAAAGTGAATAAACGTGGGAGAGAAGAGATGAGGGGTTACGGTAAAATACTTGAGGATTTTTTTATGCCGCTTGAAAGGAAAATAGAATGAAGGTCTATCGTGAAATAAGATGGGAAATTAAGGATCTGTACAGAATTTTCCCTATAATTTATATATTTTATACTTATATATATATCAGGCCTTCACATAATAGGCTCTAACTTGGATCCGATGTAGACCCAACATGTAAGGTCCAACACTTGGACCAGAACTCGGAGCTAGACTTGGTTCTCGTCGACCCACTTGATCAACAAGTTGACATGACCTGATTGCCACCCTAACACATACCTAGCCATCAAATTTTACATTGAGGTGGGTGATTATGTGTTTTTTGTACTTGCAATCTCTGTTATCATGATTGTACCGACCATCAAACTGGTGAAAGGTTTGATCTAATCAAAACTAGTTCAATTGACGATCGCATTGGTATGACCAGTTTTAAAAATATTTTAAAAATATAAATAATAATTTAAGATATATCATATGAAAAAAAAAAATTGGCCCATTTGTTTAGATGGTCAAAGCGGTTGAAACTAACCGGTCGCCCCTGGCCAAAATTGTTAAACATTAATTTTGATAAAAATGATTTTTGCCGTGGACCAAACCAACCAAAGCACCAATCAAACTTCTAGTTCAATTTGGTCTTGATAATTTTCCCTACAATCACTTTTTTTTTATATTGCAAAATAGTAATGTAATAAAATATGGCAGTTATTGATGACACATGCCAATAATTTGAAGCCCAAACGTCTATTTACAAGCATGGATAGCTAAGATGAACCGCTTTGTTTGCAGCATGGCCTCAAAAGAAAAAATAGCATTTTGCAGAGTTTTTTTAGAGGGAAACTCTAGCTTGATAGTATCAGTTTTTTAAAATCCACTAATCTTCTTGGTTAGGATCGAACCGGTTCTAAGATAATATAAATTCCGGCCTAGTTTCCCCTTAAAACCTCATTTTTATATATAAGTGTGGTTTGTATAGAGCCAAGGCTCTAAAAGATCAAAGTAGAGCCCACCTTCAAATAGTATTGAGAAATGTGGTTTCAATATTGAAAGTCTTTGTGATAGCCTTAAAATATATTTTCATATCTGATTATAAAATTGAAAACTTCCTAATTTTATAGATTGAGCAGATGTATGAAAACTTAAAAAACTTTAAAATTAATAGTAAAAAAATGCATTATAAGATGCAGTATTTTCAAAACTTGAAATCTATTTTTTTTTCATGTCTATACATCTTGATGTTGAGATGACCAATTTGAAGATATTTGGGCATCAAAACAACTTCTTCTAGTAAATTTTTTTGAGGTGGGCTCTAATTTGATTGTTTAGAGCCTCGGCGCTATATAACTTGTTTCCTTTATATATATACCCACCTCAAAATTTCACTAGAATAGGTTGTTTTGATGCCCAAATGTCCTCAAATTGATCATCTCGACATCAAGATGTATGGACATGAGAAAAAAAATAGATTTCAAGTTTTGGAAATGGCGCATCTTCTAGTACATTTTTAGACTATCAGTTTTTAAGATTTTCAAGTTTTCATAGATCTATTTCCAGTATTGGAACCACATCTCTCACACTATTTGAAGGTGCGCTTGACTTTGATTGTTTAGAGCCTCGACTCAATACAAACCGATCTAAATCCCATATATATTTTGTGGATCTAGACCCGATCCGATCCATTTTTCACCCTAAATAACAATAATAATCTTTATTATTTTAACATTTTTCCAATTAATTGGGATTGATTTCTCAACCCTAAATCCTAAATAATATGAAAGATAATATAAATAAGAAGCGATTAGAGAAGACCCAAAATTATTAATGCTTAATAAGCTTGATAAAAGATGGGTCTGATAACCAACATCAAACTCCTGGCTTGGGTTGGCACCTCTCACTTGGGTTTATGACCGTTAAAAGGGAGAGCGCAGCAGAGAGATAGAGCAGGCCCACTTTCCAAGAGACTCAAGAGAGAGAAGATGGCAGCAAGTTTAAAAAAAAGTAGAGAGAGAAAAAGTAGCAATAGAGAAAGAAGAAACAAAAACCAAAAGCTTTTTTTTTTTTTTTTTTCAACCCCCCATAAGAGAGATGGGTTTCTAAATCTTTCCTTCCTCTTGAACCAAAAGAATTATAAAAGAGAGGAAGAAAAGGATACTCCTCACTAGAGAGCTTGCCAAAAATTTGAAAATAATGGAATTTAATTTTTTTAAAAATATTATTTTTGTTTTTTCACTCTCTGGGGTGAATATGATTTTTTAATAATTTACAGAGACGACAGCCAGTACAAATGTACCATTCAGGCACCTAAATAATTGCCTCTAGAGTTTGCCCAGTTGGGAAGCTCACATCTAAAAGCCCCTCACTTTCTCACTCTTCCCATATTCTTTTTCTACACTCTACCTTTCTCTCTCCTCAGCTGTCTAATATTTCTCTAGATCACCCATCATTTGATGCTCATTCTTCATCTGTAGCTTTTTGCAGTCATGGCCTTCATCCTCTTACTCATCGCCATGGCTTCTTTCTCTGGTGAGCCTTTGAGCCATTATATTTTCAGCTTTATTGGTATTTTTTTACTGTAAATTTTTTTTGGGGTTCTTATGGTGAGTGGTTCTTGTTTTTTGAGCTCTAAATATTATGGGGTTTTTTGCATTTGATGGTACATATTCACTTGTTGGATTATATTGGTCCAATGGTTGGGGTTTTGATTATCTCATTGCTTCTATTTCTAGGAGTCCTTGGCCTAGAAAACTTTGTAGCAGAAAACTTTGTAGCAGCTTTGGATATGATATTACCTGTTAATTTGTTAATGCATTGGAGTGCAGCTACTTGGGTTTTAGGCTCTTGTTCTCTCATATGTTTTCAGGTTTTTTTTTTTATGAAAAAGGAGTTTTGTTTGGTTTCAAAATAGGAATTTTTAGTTGGAATATGCAATTCCTGACACTGATTATTGGGTTTTTGTTGCAAATATTGGGTAGGACTTAAAGTTGCCCCTTTTATCCAAAACAAAGCTTCCATCACAGGAAAACTCTCTCTCTCTCTCTCTCTCTCTCTCTCTCTCTTTCTCTCTCCTTTGTGTGTGTTTCTTGTGATTTGTAAGAAAAGAAATGGTGGGGTTTGAAAATATCACTGTCTAGTTGGATTTGAGCTCTGAAATATCAGTTTTTGGGGTTCCTATTAGCATTTTGGTGGGAGATTTAGAAGCTGAAAGCTAGGGTTTTGGGCTATTAGATACAATCATCATTCTTCTTGCTGGTATATAAGAGTTGCCTAATTTTTAATATTGCTATTTGGAGTTTTGTTTAGCTATGATCTTACTCAAGTTACTTCAGCTTTCTTTTATTTTTAGGATAGGGATTTTGAATAAGCTTAGAATGGACTAAGTTTTTAGGGGAAAAAAAATAGTACTTTTTGGGATGATTTTTTTTGTTCAAATGATTATTTTGGGCACTTGGATTTCATTTGGGGCGATGATTCTAAAAGCTATTGAGTACTTGAAAGTTGAAATTCTTGATATAGCCAGTTTTTTTATGAGGTTAGAGAGCTAATCTTAGCAACCTCTTACTGGCTATTCATCTACTTTCTTTACTTTAAAAATAGGGTTAACCTTAGCAACCTCTATTATTTGCAAGAAGTTAATTAGCTGCAATTTTTGTCACTGAACTCTCTCTCTCTCTCTCTCTCTCTCTCCTTCTCTCTCTCTCTCACTCACACATGCACACATGCACACATGCACTGGTATGTGGTAGGAGACTAGGAACAATAGTCCAATTTTTTGTATTGGGGGTTTAGGGTTTAAATATTAGCGGATTGTTTTGGGATGAGATTATTTTGGGTTTGCAATCCCAAGTATTGGGGACTTGGGGTTTTTGTTAACCCACCCCTTTGATGTTTTACTTGTTTCAGTTTAATGTTAAAAAAAATAAGTAGCTGTTATTATCATTTATCCCTTTGATTGTAGCCTGATTATTGATCCCTTAATGTAGCATGATTATTTGTTGGCCATATTTGAGTTTGTGAAATGGGTTTCAGGGTTCTTCCATGACCAATCAGGATGTAACATGAATTTTTTGGTCTTCCATGTTATTGGTTTTCTTCTTATTGGGTCTGTAGGATAGGGTATGTTTTTTTGCTTGTGATAATAACCCCTGATAGTTATGCTTCTGAGACTAATTATTTGGATTTTGAAGCTTGATTGATTGGTAGTGCACAGATTGGCTACAAAGGTCTTGCATTTTGTTTTCCTCTCCAGTGTGCGACAAATCGGCCAGTCCAACTCGGAACCGGCCACTGGCCGAGATGGTTTTGGCCGGGTTAGGTGTCTGCCTGGTTATTTTATATATATATATATATATATATATATATATATATATATATATATATAATAAAGTAAGTTAGTTAGTTAGTTAGTTGTTAGTTTAGTTAGTTTAGTTTTAGTTTAGTTTAGGTAGTAAGGTAGGTAGTTAGTTAGTTTAGTTAC